GGTATGTAAATGACAAATATTACTTGGCTTAGAAAAATTAAGCATTATAACCCTCCTTTGTCTGCCAAAATGCTCGAGGCATCTGCTTTCATAAGGCTTACTGATGGTTATCCGAGGATGCCTTAGGATTTTAGATTTATTTCGGCAGGCAAGTCGTTTTTTGACTACCATGCGTCTGAGTCATTAATTGTCGTTATTTTACCATCCGCGTTGGATGTCGGTAATTTGTTTCGACCTCCCCACGTGACCAATCCCCCTGTGCGGGGAATGTCTCAGCACCGAAAATGGCAACAGGACGTTTTTCGGCTTGCTGACAAATTGTGGGTCTGAGAATCGTGATTCGAGGAGAACGCGAGTTATGCGCGTGTCAACTCTTGAGACCGTAATATCCACTACCAAGCTAGGAAACATGTGAAGTCGTTGCGAACAGAGCAGCCACTTAGAAGAAACTGGAATATTACTCTAAGCATTAATGGCTGAGCGCATGGCAGCGGTGAGGAGGGAAGACGATAGCTCGCAGTTGGCGACTCATTCCACGGGAGCCGGTCACATTTTCAAGTTTCACGCGGACGAACTCCTCGCAAGAGGATCAGTAGACATAATTGTTGTTCCGGTGGCTTTTGACGTTGAACCACCTGCCTGCTGATGTTGTACTCTCCTCCTTTGGAATTCATTCAAGTGTAAACTTAAAACGTGTCGGGCTTCACAAATGCCAGTCGCGCACTCATCCACATAAGCATTCATCAAACTTACGTGTGTCTGCACTATTTGCAATGAGTGAGTAGGCGTTCAGATTTAGCCTTTTTGACTAACAGACAGCTGCTAACTTTTCGCAAGCAATTATGCACTCGATTTCCCCCTCGTTTTTCTACTTATCGGTGCATTTTATTGAATAACCTGCGACCAATACGGAGAATGAGGTAGAAAGCTTATTTATTTTTGATAAAACCGTAGTGAACCAAATCGAATATGATATTTCGTGAAAGCATCTAGCGGGTAACTTAGTTCCTTACGACTTGTTTTCATCAGATGATCATATGTGGAGACGCACGAATCGCGAAGATTCGTAGGCCACACGAAAGAACCGTCGAAATCTTGAATCTGAAGCGAAGATGCTCTTAGTAAACTAAACAAACTTCGTCAATATGCTTTGCCGCTTTGCAGTTATTTGATGCAGCAGTTATCCGACGGATGTTGCCATGCGCTACTCGTTTCTAACGCAACTTGTACATGAACTTAGAGTTTTAAGTTGGTGATACCTTTTGTCGCACATCATACTTCTACTCAGAGTCATTCTTGCTATCAATGTTACCTTCTTGACTTCGTTTCACAACTACAACTGCCCCTTCAGTGACTATGTAAGTATCAGTATGTCTTCCAAGCTCGAAATTATACTAGTTTCATTTCCCAATTACGCAGTACCAGAAGCCGGAAGGCCCCAAAGCGTTTCTGTAAATGCCTAAATGTCGAACTGACCACAAAACCATAAACATTTGTAAACTGTATTATACAATATCCACAAACGATGGACAAATGAGTATTTTTAACAATGTATGCGTTCTTATTACTTTTGGAAGCCAAAATGCGGCACTGCCTATAAGTCGGAAATACTGAAGTCCGAAATACGCTCGTCTTTTCTACAAAGTGGAGTGTTTACTTACATTATGCCTCACCTGACCTGCGCGGGATAAAAACCTAAATGCTACGAAGACAGCCCTTTGAAGTGTGACCGTTTTAAATTTAACCAAACCCTCATGTACATGTCCAATAAGTGATGCAACAAATGACTTAGGATAGTCATTAGCACAAGGCATTGCTTGACTAGGAAGTACTGTAATATAAATAGCTGTTTAAATAATGAATCAAAATATGCAGACAATTACGAACTTATGCAGTAACTCGGGTTTGGTTGGGGATACTGAAAAACCAAAGTTCCAGTCAACGCCAGGAAAAAGGTAAGCCCGCGAAAGGTAATTATACGTGCGTGGCTGGCTATGACCTATGGCAGCTGTAAGTTGAATTCACGATTATAATCATTTAGCCTGGGAAATTACCTAGACCAAATTCCTCCAGAACGCAATATTGACAGGAGCGGTTTACACGAGTAAGTATAATGCGCAACATTTTAGGTGGGCCTAAATTGTCGTATAAATTTTCGTCATTACTTTTAATGAGTTAAGCACTTTTGGCAAGGGACAGATGCATTTTGTCATTAGGTTTCTAAAAAATTATGTAGATGTCCCTGGAAATCATAGACACATGAAAACGAAGGATTGCTTGCAGACTTTACGGCTGCATATTTGACGCATGATAAAACGGGTGCGAAATAAATGCATTACACAAGTAGACACTATTGTTTTTTAAACGTTATTTGCTATATCCATACTTTATCCCATCACCTTTAAATCAACTGAGGAATGACGTTTGAAGAATCCTCAGGCTGCTTCGGTGAAAGCATTTTGTCCCGTCGATTCTCTCTACTAGAGAAGGGCGTGCAAATTGCAAGACGAAGCTTAGGACGGCCAGTGCCATAGGAAATAGCAAGCATTTTGGTTCTTTAGCGGATAGCGACACAGAAGGCATAGTACAATTTTCGCCCTATCGACCACAATGTTAAGACCGCATTCAGAGCGAATTTTTCCTATGGATGCTTTGGTTATGAAAGATTGATTATTTTATTTTAATACATTTGCAGTTCATATGCGTGTGCACTGTGTAACAAACTAGTATCTAAATAGACTGTTAAATTATGTCAATCAAATGGACGTCATTTGACAAATAAACACTATCTCCTATTAACGGGACGCCAAGTGCTCTCCTAAGGCCAAAATCGATTATTTGCGTTAAATCTCATGAGTATTTTTCATAGCCCATATCTCGAATTTCTTCCGGATACCATAAAATTTATAACGTATAGAGATGGATTGGTTTAATCCCTGATATTTGGGCAATTACTCTGCAAATGTAATTTTGAAGTAGTTCTGCGTCGCAAAAATCAGCGGGTTACTTGTACGCGAGTCTCCAGAGCAAATAATAAACGTTAATTGCCACACTTATTTTATGAAATAAAACACCCGTTATGATATTGTTCAGTCTCAAAGCTTTATTCCGGCCGATGTACTAAAAGTTTCCACCAATTCGTAAAAGCAACAATTTCAAGACTGGAGTATCTACCAGAAAGCATAAAAGGAATTCTGGGTCATCCGTTGATGAGCTGAACTTCTTGCAGCTAGGGAATACGGGTTTAACACGCATTTGGATTTTAGATGGCCCACGTGCTATCATTATGGTATATTAAGTAGCCCATTGCAATAAAGTGTGCGCTTAAAATGTCGTCTCAGAATCAGTGGCACATGAGTTTTAGGACAAATGTCGCCTAAACAGGGCACGATGATTGCATCCTTGACGAAAAGACTGTATGCTGATTAAAAACACGCAACCTGTTATGGTGGTCTAGGGAATTAATTGAAACGCACGTCTTAAAATATTTCTCGCTTCTTGATTTTTGAACATTACGCGGCACCTGAATTCTGCGAAGCTGGAATGCGTGAGGTAGATGTACGTGTAGGCGCAAATTGGTATTTTGGATAAACACTGAAGCGCAAATGTAGTTGATACCTATATCAGACTTTAAAATTTTTGCCGTGAGATTGAATGAGCCCAAGACTTTTGAAAAATGGCAGTCATCAGTCTTACGCAACTCCGAATGAAAAGAGCCCCAAGCGCCATCATGATTAAAATAACGGAAAATACATCAGTTGTATCGGAGTTGGAAATGGGCCGAAGGTGGACATGGACATGTTTAGTTCATATAAAATCTCCTCTTTTCAAATCTTTTTGGAGACCCTCTTTTAGTTTGCTTCGACTTTCAGTAAATCTTACTAGTACGCATTGCCGCAAATGTGTGCTGACTTGCAGGGCACACTTTGTAGAATTGCCGCTTGCTTGAAGGAAACCACACTATACGAAAATGCAACAGGACTAAACTAGGCAGCACAACTAGACAAATCTCCGATGGCTGCAAGATGGTAAGGGGTGCGAGTAAAGCGAACTCTCGGAAGGAGAGTTGCTTTCGCAACACTCGAAGCAAGTAGACGCATAATACAAAAGTTAAACAGAAACGCGCACGTAAATTCCATCTACAGCATTACATACCGCTATGGACGCTTCGTTCATTGTTCAAGAGGTAAGTACTGAGGCCAAAATAAAGTACTATGCCAAACCGATTCAAAATATGACCACGTCTTTTGTCCCTAGTACTTAGTAGAGTCGACGTTATACTACAAATAAACAGTCAAACTAGAAGTTAAGAGGAAACTGAAAAATTACGGTTTGGTGTTTTTGGAGACAGGGCTATTCAGTTGTTGGCAGAAATTCTATAGTGACTTAAACATAGTATGCTGTCTTTCCCTTGATAGTATCCTTTTTTAATTTGAAGCCATTGATCCCAAAACCCTTTCAAGTGATTTCAACTGCCGCAGCCTGCATTCCAGCATTTCCTGTAGCATTATATCTATTGGTTAAACAACAACTCGGAATAGGGCCAATTACCTGTGCGTCTGAATGCGGTCCAAGACGTTTGTCGACCATCTGCTCATCGGATCATAGATCTACAGTCGTACGGAAGCAAATGTCTTCCGCAATACATGCTGTTAGTTTGCGGTAGACGGCGCGGGATATGCACTTACAGGTACAGTGAGACAGAAAAACACGCGGTGGCACGTTGCCACGCATGGTCTCTTTGTAGACCAGTCATGTGTCCATTGGCGGTCTTGATGTGGCAGTGGAGAAAGTGTGACTTCTTTGAGTTAACCAACTTCCGGTAAAAATCCCCGCAGCAACTTAGCACACACTTTCATTCGCCTATTTGTTTTAGTTAGGCGCGAGGGTAACCAACTGATTGGTAGCAGCATAAAGGTGTTGCTAGCTCGTTTAGTGAGCACAACAGTCAAAATGCATAAATTGTCGTTAAAACGTTTCTCCCCATTATTATCTGTGCAATGACCAGCAGTTTATCGATTGCGTTGCTGCTCCTGGCTTCAATCTTTGTCCTTATCGCCTGCGAGGATGATGGTAACAGTGAAACACTGTGTTATTTAGTGGATACATCTGCTTTAACTAACGCGATTATTGCTATTACAGTTACTTAACTTTGCATAGCGAGGAAATAGTAGATTAGGAATCATGACTACTCCGCGAAGGACAATTACTTTAGGTAATTAGCCAAGCACAGAAACTCCAGGAACTTGCATTGATTCTTTTGAAGTATGAGTACAATAATGCGTACCAGTTTTTGTCTACCTTTTCTTTAGTTAATGAATTAAGATGATTAAGGTAGTTTATTCTAAACGCTCCAAAAATCGTATGAACTCGCCTGACAAAAATAGTAGACAATAATATCAATATTTTATGCTTGATTTTCAAGATGAAGTTCTGAACGGCAATCTGCCAGCCTACTGCGGACACCGCCCAAAATTGCCCACTAATCACGGGGACTCAGGCGCTGGCAAGACTGAAGCCGAACCGTACAGTTGGCCATGGCACGTAGGTTAAAAAGTAATTATTTTGTATATATTTCCAGGCGAACAATGTAGAACACTCTTGGCAGAATTAGGCTTATAGGATGACTTGGTGCATCGAAATCTTACTAAGAATTCTAGCGTATGCTCGGTTAACTTTATTAAAGTATAAACGTCTGGAGATATGAGCAGTCCGTAATTTTGATATGGCTGTTAAAGGCCAAAAACAATCCAGTAATGGCAACTTTATTTTCCATCGTTTTTGATGGAGCTCTCAGTTCGAACGTAACGGACTTTTCATTAAGAAGTCATTTTTTGTATGCCATTCTGACGGTTGCCTGACAGTTAGACTATTTAGATAAGGTATTAGGTGGCATAAACGATAGATAACTGACTCCAAATCTTCTAACAATAACTTTGTCTTATTTTACCATGGAGTCATCCTCGCGCAAATGTTGGAGTTAAGTGTTTAACGGCGCTACAAATGTGGCAATTAACATTTTGAGTTAGTCGGAAAAGAGTTGCATAGCTGCACTAAACAATATACTTTAGCTGTGCAAAACAACCGCTAACTCAGCGAACGGTTTTTCAAATCTTCATGGTGATGTTGTCAGGCGCACAACATTGATGGCATTGGAGACTCATCTGACTGTTTTTTTCTCGTAAGGCAGCTTGTTGGAGAATATGACATAAGTGTGCAAGCGAAACTCGCTATTAAGCTGCACGGGATTTGCCACATCCAGCGCAAGGGACAACTAACTGTTTGCCCAAATTTCCCTTAAAAAAACAATTTATCGATTTCACATTATTTTGCAAGATTATTAATATTGTGGCAAATCGAAATTCGTCCACGCAAGGCAATTAATTGTTATGTCTAGAAAATTGTCTTTTAGTGAATGTGGTGTAGACGGGAGGGAAGAAACTGGATGGATTTAAGTTTCACACATTTATTATTTGATTTTTCTAAATCATTTTTGTTGGGTACTCTTTTCACAGGTTGGATTATACTCTACATTGCGAGGAAGAACTCCATATTGCGGAGGAACGCTCATTGCTCCAAAGTGGATTTTAACTGCCGCGCACTGTGTTAGAAGATTATTTAAATGCGCGCCCATAACGCCTGGTGAATTAATCAATGTCGAACAAGTCACAGGAAAACAATTAGCGGCTGTTGTTGGTGACCATGATTACACGGAAAAAAACAAATATAAAGGAAGGCTTCGAGTTGAGAAACTTATTGTGCATCCAAATACCACGCTGGATGACACGAAAATAGGATATGACATTGCACTTCTAAAGTTGAAAGGCAAGGCGAAACGACGTAAGAAAAAGGCTTTTGTTGTTCAAAACTGCCCATCTACTATTGCATGCAAAACAGTTCATGTGATTACAAAGAACAAAAAGCTGTCATATTGATATTTATGGTTATGAATTAGACACTCATCTCTTAAAGAAGACTTGATAATACAAAACATGTTATTGCCACATATATGTGAAGACTTTACGAAAATCTCCGTACAGGCGTTATCAACAGTTCTATCTCAACCATTTTGAAAGTAAAGATAGCGATACATTACAGAATCTATTAAGTCACAGTGACTATGCACGAATGTAGTGGTTGGGTAAAGAAGCTAACAAATTATCATGACCCATCCATAATTAACCATCGTTCAATGATTTGACGCAAAAATGTCACTTCTGAATGAGAAAATAAAAAATAAGTTTTTCGAGGCATGATATTGAAGTGACTACTCATTTTTGCGCGTTTTCTGATGGATATCACTGTGGTGTGAAACGACAAGAATACGAACGCCGGTAGACCTCTGAAGTGTCACAAATTGTTTTGCCTAGATGTCTTACTTTTGTATCTATATTCTCTTAGCGATTATTACGAATTAATGTGCAATATTTGCTAGATAAATATGCACGATGAATACTAAAAATTCTTGTATAAATTTTTAATTCGTAACTAAATACCGCACTCACTCTCGTAATACGCTGTTAAAGAAAACAAAATTTCCAGTTATGTTGCTGTTATTGTTGCACTCGACATTTCTGTGCTGTGACATCATTTGTGTCTGAGTAAACTTTTTATTATTGCTAAGTGATACACGTCCAGTTTGCGTGTCTTTCTTTCTCCTATCTAAAACTACCAGATGGAAGATTATGATATGTTACTGGGTGAGGACGAGTGGTGAATCCTGCAGGGCGTGGAACGTACTACAAGCCTAAAAGGTTGATGAAGCCAAAAGTGCCCGTAGTTTTATATAACGATTACTGAAGAAGGCATCGGAAAGTTGAAGGTCTGAAACACGTCTGCATCGATGCGCGCGCAATGTCAGAAGACACTTTGACTGCGCCCGAATGGCGCCCGGTGAATTAACCAATGCCGAACAAGTCACAGGCAATTCGTTAGGGGCTGTTGTCGCTGACCATGACAACACCATGCAAAACCGATTTGAATGAAGGCTTCCAGTTAAGAAAGTTATTGTGCATCCACATACGACGCTATCAGACACTGAACGAGGATTTGGCATAGCACTCTTGCAGCTGAGATGAAGAGCCAAAAGAAAAAGGGCGTTTTCTCGTTCAGAAATGCCTATGTACCACTGCGTCCGAAATTATTAGTGTGGTAATTACTAACGAAAATTTGTGAAATTGACAGATGTAAATAGGAGCTAGGTACCACCATTTCTAACACAGTTGAATGCCACGAAGATCGTTCGGAAATTCCGTTGCAGCTTTACCCACGGTTTTAAATTTACAAGTTCCCAACGCAAAGACTCTAAACCTACAGAAAATGCCAAATGCACAGTGACAGAGTACGGATGTAATGCTCGGGTAGAGAAGCTAAAAAGTGTCATCAAGCTTCAATATCCAAACCAAGATTAATGATTTGACATATAAACTGTCAGTTTTAGAATATTCGATGGAAACCCACATTTTTCCACAGCAAGCACCACTACTCTTTGCTTATTTTATCAGATCTACGTTTCAGATCACATCGTGGCAAACAACGGAATGAAAAAAGGGGGAACTCTGAAATGTTAACAATTTATGTTTGCCTGCGCCATCTTTATACCTGCCCCGTTCATACGATAAATGCAAATTATTTTGGGATATTTGCTAGGCACTTAATATTGTTTTACAAAGCCGGTCTTCGCACATTTACACCAAAAGGTCTTATGAATTCGTGTAATGTTCTGTTAAAATAGGATGAACTCTCAATTTTTTGGCTGATATTGTTGCCCTTACTATCCATGTTCTATGATAGCATTTTGTTTAAATTAAATTTCTGTTGCTGTTAAGTGGTACACGTCCAGTTTGCCTGTCTTCCTGACTCCTTCTTAAAACTGCCGGTTGGAAAATTTTGCTATTTCGCTGGCTGGGGACGCGTAGTTAGTCCTGCAGCACCTGGAACGCATTACGATCCTGATAAGTTGATGCAGGCGAGAGTACCGTTGGTTTCAACTGAAGATTGCAAAAAGAAGCATCGGAAAGTTGATGGTTTGAGACACGTCTGCACGGATGCATCATATGGGGTATGAAATTTTAGAGTAACTTTCATTGTTGCCCTGAAACTTATATCCGTTTAACAAATGTTTTTTTATTTAGGATGCTTGCCAAGGTGACAGTGGAGGCGGCTTACATTGTTTGGACGCTCAAGGCCGCTGGGTAGTTTATGGTATCATCAGTTACGGCAAACCGGACTGTGACGGCGACTACTCAGTGCACACGTCGACTGGTCGCTATGTCGCATGGATCAAGAAAATCATACGTGATAATTGACACAAGTGCGCGAGCAATTCTTTGACTGTTTTTATACACTTCATTATTGTCCTTTCGAAGCTTTGAAATTGTTTGAGTAAATAAATGTCGCGTTTTTCGGTTAATGCGGCTTTCAGTCTTTATTACAATTCAGTATTTCATCAGGTCCATTTTCAAAAAAATAGGGTGGAACTGGCAGCCGTTGGGAATGCCTATTGCTATCTGCCGGAATAAATGCACGCACATAACATATTTTCCAAAACGAAAGATGTCAAATAATAGCCAGTGTGCCACTGGACATCAGTGCGTATACGGCGACATATAAATATGTTGAATAGAAATTAGAAATATTTAAGAGGCTTGAAATAACTAGATTGGTTTTGAAATAAAATATCAGAATTTCGAATTCTGTAAAACGTTGACTAAAATACAATTCAGCGAATATTCCCATGTTGCAATTGAAAAGTCAAATTGGCGAACACGTGTTTTCAGTAACTCTTCATCAGGCCAAAACGGTTACAATGAAGTTTAAGTTATGCGAATTACATGACCTATAAATGATTCGGGGACAATTAACATCGATCGTTCTCACGCCACTCGCATGACAAGGCGTGCTATGGCGTGG